AAAATCTTTAAAAAAAAAAAAAAAGGAAATGGGCAAGTGAGGCCCAGGGGACATTGGCAGGTCACATCCTAAAAAGGCAGAGGCGAAGAACTATAATAATAGGTATTTACTGTGCACTAGGTACTATGTTGATGGCTTAGTGTGTGTAATCTCTTCCAATCTTCACCCAGTCTATGAGGTAGTTACTATTATTGGCCCATTTTGCAGATAGAGGACACTGAGGCTCATAAAACTGTGGTCACAGAGCCAGGGGGTGTCAGAGGTGAGACCGAGCCCAGGGCTGTGGCCCCATGCTAGGACACGTGTTTCAGACATAGCAGGTCAGTTTGCTTCTGGTGGGTGGGGTAAGAAAGATACAGGAGACCCAGCTACACAGGGGACGGGAAGAAGGGGGCCTGGGTCCCCTTGGGAATGCACAGAGAAGCAGGTGGACTTAAGCCTCCACCCGGGAGCATTGGCAACTGGCTCCTACTGGGGTGGGGGGTGCAGTGGGCAGGGGGATAGAGGCAGACCTGTGTTCAGCCACCAGCTTTACCTGGGCTCTGGGCTGCCCACTGCAGGTCCCCAGTGCTCTGCCCCAAGTGCTCTAAGAAATCCCTGAACTCTGGCTCCTTTTCCTGCAACATTACAGGTTTTCTTCTGTTCCTACTGGGGAGGGGAGTCCATGCTGAGTGGCATGACCAAAGCCGGCTCAAACCAGAAGCGCCGTGCTTTCTCATAGCCCCAGTTATTCAGAAACATTTGGGGGGGTCTCCTGGCACGTGCTTATCCTCATGCTAGCATGAGCCGTAGGGCTGACCTGCCGTTTCCACATCGCCTTTTCTGGTCAGTGTGTAGAGGGATCGGCATTCTGTCTGTAGATTATCACCTATTCATTCATTCAACAAACCTTCACTGAGCACCCTACGTGCCACGCACCCTGCTGTGGTTCCAAGATAGAGTTCTGCTCTCATCAAGCTGATGCTCTAGTGGAGGACTTGGACAGTAAACAAGGGAATAAGTAAAATATGGCACAAGGGAAGGGTGATCCTGTGCCAGGTGATCATAAGTGCTTTGGAGAGAAAGCTAGGAGCTGGGAGAGAGGGGGACAGGGACCATGGGGGAGCAGGTGATTTTAGTCCAGGAAGAACTCTCCAAGGAGGCGACATTTGAGCAGTGACGTGTGAGCTGGGGGAGCCAGCCCTGTGGGTATCTAGGGAAGAGCATCCAGGAAGCAGGACAGGCAAGTGCAAATGTACGAAGGCAGGAATGTGCTTGCCCTGACTTAAAAAAAAAAGTAGTCTCTGTTTTTTGGATTCTTTCTTCCATGCCACCCAAGTGTGTGTTTGTTGTTTTAAGACATGCTTACATTTTTTTCATGAATTAAATATGTATATGCTTTATTGGTTTATTTTCTGTGTGGGAGAGCCAACATAACATGGGAAGGGTTGAAGGCAGACAAACTAAGTGAGTCTCCCCGCTCTGCCTCTGATCGGCTGTGTGGCCTCCAACAAGTGCCCTTCCTTCTCTGAACATCAGTCTCACCAGCAGTAAAACAGAACACACCTTTCAGGGCTGTGGCGAGGCTCCCACCTAAAGTCCATAAAGCCCCTAGCACGTTTTCTGACACCCTCGCCCTCTCACCACTGCCCCTCTTCCCTCTCTTACCCTACTCCGGCTGAACTAATCTGGGGCTGGTGTTCTAGAGCAGCTCAAGCTCTTTGTTGCCTCGGGGCCTTTGCACTGCCCATATCCTCCCCCTGGAAACCTTATCCCATGGGCATCTCTGAATCATTCAGGTCACTTCCCCAGAACCCCTTTCAGACCACACCTTTTCACCTAGGTGCCCCCTTCCAAAATATTCTCTATTCCAGCATCTTTCTTGGTTCCTTTGCAATGCTTATCAGAATTGGGAAATACTGAGTTTTTGGCTGGTTTGGACTGTAGGCATCAGGAGGGCAGGGACCGTGGCTGTCAGGCAGATTGGATCCCTATGGCTGGCACCCGCGGCCCGCCATGCAGTGCCTGCGCCTGGAGTGGGTGGCAAGGGTGAGGGGCGGGGGGCGGGGCGTTGACAGGCAGTGAATCCTAGGGAATGGGAGCTATGAGCCTGGCGATGCTCTGCATAAGGTGACCTGCGCGCGCTCTCTGCTCTTCTGGATTTACCCGGCCCTGGGCCCTGGGGGTTATTTTCATTTGGGTTACCTATTATTTCCCAGTTATCTGAAGTTTAAGGCCATATAAGGTGGCAGTTGAGAGCGCAGACGGAGCATGGGTTCAGATCTCAGCCCTGCCACTCGCTGGCTGTGTGGCCTCCCAGCTTTGTGAGGGGGGAGCGGCCCGGTGCCTAGCGCACAGTAGTGCCCAAAGGCTTGGCTGGGACTGTTCCCAACCCCCCCGCTCCACCGGGCGGCGCCCGCGCTCATGCCAAGCCCCGCCCACAGGTGTACCCGGCCCGCGAGGCCCTGGCCGCGCTGGAGCCCTACTCGCGGCTGCCCCCGCAAGGACACGTGGCACGGCCCGCCGACGTCGTGGCAGGCCCCCGCCACCTGTACACCTTTTTCCCGCGGCCCCACGGGGACATGCACAGCCTGGTGCGCCGCCGCCGCCGCCTCCCGGAGCCCGAAGCCGCCGCGCTCTTCCGCCAGATGGCAGCCGCCGTGGCGCACTGTCACCAGCACGGGCTGGTCCTGCGCGATCTCAAGCTGCGGCGCTTTGTCTTCACCGACCGCGAGAGGTGAGTGTGGCCAGAGACCCTCCTCGCAGACATACCTAAGAGATGGGCCCTGATGGGGACACTGAGGCCCACGAAGGCAAAGCAACTTACACAAAGAAATGGAGAAGCCCGGACTGGCTCCTCTGCTTGGTTCCCGGGAAAAGGTTGACTCGGGGGCGCCTGGGTGACTCAGTTGGTTGAGCGACTGCCTTCGGCTCAGGTCATGATCCTGGAGACCCGGGATCCAGTCCCATGTTGGGCTCCCTGCTCGGCAGGGAGTCTGCTTCTCTCTCTGACCCTCCCCCCTCTCATGCTCTCTCTATCTCATTCTCTCTCTCAAATAAATAAATAAAATCTTAAAAAAAAAAAAAAAAAAGGTTGACTCGGGGCTAATGAAAGCCCCTGGGCTGGAGCGTTGTCTCTGTGACAGTCGTAAGAGCTGACAGTGACGAAGAGCTTGGCTGCGCTCTCTGACTCGGCCTGGATGCTGACAAAGATGAGGTAGGCACTCTTCTTGTTCCCAGAGGCCAGGTGAGGAAACCGGCCCAGAGAAGTCAAGTAACCCTCAGGATGCCACAGCTAAATAGTAGAGCTGGAAGCGAACCCAGATGTGACTCCAGAGAGGTCCTCATCCACCCTGAGCTTGAGAGGGGGGAGGCCTGGCTGGGCTTACCTGCTGACTCTGGGTGACTCAAGGTCTCTGGACCTCAGTTTCCCCATTGGTAGGAGAAAAGTGGACTGTTAAGATGTTTCCAAGATGTCAGGGCCACAGACAACAAGCCACAACGGGCCCTGAGGCTCCTCAATGGGAACGTTTTCTGTGGAACAGAATCGGTGATGTTGGAGGGAGGGAGCGGAGAGGGGAGCCGGCATTCTCTCCCCTCCCCCAGACTGGGGTGGGGGTGGGGGGGATCGGTGAGCAGGAGGGGGGTGTGTCCAGGAGCAGGCAAGCCAGTCAGGTCCACATGAACAGCCATCAGGAACATGGATTACATTGCAAGATTTTTTGTGGGGTTGGGGGGTGGGGAAGGAGGGCGACCCCATGGCACATTTTAATTAATTTATTTTTTTAAGTGATCTCTGCACCCAACATGAGGCTCAAACTCATGACCCCAAGATCAAGGGTCACATGCTCTTTCAACTGAGCCAGCCAGGCACCCCCCACCCATTCACATTTCAAACTTTTTTTTAAAAGATTTTATTTATTTATTTGTTTGTTTATTTATTTATTTATCAGAGAGAGAGAGAGCGCACAAGCAGGGGGAGCAGCAGCAGAGGGAGAAGCAGACTCCCCACTGAGCAAGGAGCCTGATGCGGGGCTTGATCCCGGAACCTTGGGATCATGGCCTGAGTGGAAGGCAGACACTTAACCGACTGAGCCACCCAGGCGTCCCCATTTTAAACTTTTTGAAATACGTTTAGACTTTCCTAAAAGTTGTGAAAATAGTGCAAAGAGTTTTCATATCTCCTTCACCCACTTCCCTTAATGTTAACTTCTCACATAGCCACAGAACAACTATCAAAACTAGAAAACAACTATCAAAACTAAGCCTAGGTGGCTCAGTTGGCTAAGTGACCAACTCTTGGTTTCCACTCAGGTCATAATCTCAGGGTCGTGAGATCGAGCCCTGCATCAGGCTCCGTGCTCAGTGGGGAGTCTGCTTGGGATTCTCTCTCCCTCTCTCCCTGCCCCACCCCCAGCTAAAGCTCACTTTCCCTCTCTCTCTTTCTCTTAAAAAAACAAAAACGAAAACAAACCCAAAAAACTAAGAACTTAATCTTGGTCTAGTACTAGTCACTAAACCATGGATTGGTTCCGATTTCACTAGCTTCCCACTAATACCAATTTTCTGTCTAGGATCCAGTCCAGGACCCCAGCCTGCATTCAGTTGTCCTGTCTCCTTAGTCTGCTCCAGTCTGAAACAGTCCCTTAGTCTTTCCTTGTCCTCCTTGACCTTGACACTTTTTGGTTTTTGGGTTTTTTTTCTTTTTTCAAAATTTTCTTTTCAGGGCTAGTTGATTCAGCAGGTGAGTTGTACACACTCCTTACCAGACTCCGACTTCCATGCCACCGTCCTGACCTTGACACTTTTGAATAGTACCAGTCAGTTATTTTATACATTGCCTCTCAACTTGGATTTGATGGATGTTTTTCTCATGCTTAGACTGAGATTATGCATTTTTGGCAACAATACCAACAGGAAGGGTGCCTGCGTGGCTCAGTCAGTTGGGCGTCTGACACTTGGTTTCGGCTTGGGTCATGATCTCAGGGTCTTGAGATGGAGCTGTGCGTGGAGCCCCAAGTGGGGTCTGTGCTCATTGCCAAGTCTGCTTGAGATTCTCTCTCCCTCTCCCTTTCCCCCAACTCATGAGTGCTCTCTCTCTCTCTCAAATAAATAAACAAATAAACAAATAAAATCTTAAAGAAAAAAAAGAGTACCACAAGAGGGATAGGTCCTTCTCAGCACACCGTGTCAGAAGATGCATGATGGTGATATGTGTTCCTGTGATTGTTAACCTCAGTCATTTGGTTAAGGTGGTGTCTGCCAAGGTTCTCCACTGTAAGGTTCCTAATTTACCCCTTGTAATTAATAAATACCTTGGGGGGGGCACCTGGGTGGCTTAGTTGGTTAAGCCTCCAACTCTTGATTTCTGCTCAGGTCATGATCTCAGGGTTGTGAGACTGAACCTGCACCTTGGGCTCTGTGCTCAGTGGGGTGTCTTCTTCTCTCTCTCTCCCTCTCCCTCTACCCCTCTCCCTGCTCACGCTCTCTCTTTCTAAAATAAAAATAAAATAAAATCGTGGGGCAGCTGGGTGGCTCAGTCCTTAAGCATCTGCCTTCGGCTGAGGTCATGATCCCAGCGTCCTGGGATCGAGCCCCACGTCGGGCTCCCTGCTCGGCGGGAAGCCTGCTTCTCCCTCTCCCACTCCCCCTGCTTGTGTTCCCTCTCTCACTGTCTCTCTGTCAAATAAATAAATAAAATAAAATCTTTAAAAATACATACATACATACCTTGGGCAGGTGCTTCAAGGCCATGCGTGTAAATACTGTTTCTCCTCAAATTTGCCCAGGGATTTTCACAGGGCATCCACCTTCCTTGTAGCAGTTACTGTTGTGATGCTTGCCTAACGGTGATTTTCTATTTCCTTCTCTCCTTCTACATTTTATACTAAAATGAACATGCCTTTAGTAAGAAGTAGAATATAAATTTTATAATGATTTTTTAAGCTAATACCCAGCTTCAAATAATTGTGAACTTAGGATGAGTTACATCACCCACAGACCTCCCAGGGTGAGAAAGTACTTCATGTCTTTTTAAGGCAATAGTTTGAGAAGCACTGTTGGTAGAAGAGGGCTGGTGGAGACAGACCTGGCTTCGAATCTTGGTTTTACTTTTTACCTGCTCTTTGGCTTTAACAGTGGCTTTACCTGCCTGGGCCTTGATTTTTTTCAAATGCCAGCAGGCGCCCCAGAAGTGGTGTCATAGAATAATTTTAATAGCAGTGGTAATAAAAAAAAAATGGCATTGGTAACAGAAAGGTTATTATTAAAGTAACCTGGAGTGCTCTGTGGGAATTGTTTAAAGCGGAAGTTGCAAATGGTGGGCCTCACACACATATTTTTTTTTTGGTCCCACGTACATGTTCATTTGTTTTTTTGTTTTTAAGATTTTATTTATTTATTTGACAGAGAGAGACACAGCGAGAGAGGGAACACAAGCAGGGGGAGTGGGAGAGGGAGAAGCAGGCTTCCC